TTCGTGCTGAGCCATTCCCAGATGCGGTGGTTGTCCAAACGTCCGCTGACACTGCACGATCAACATGTCTAAGTACATGGCCAGTGAATAAGAGTGTATACCTGGACACAGTATAGCCAAACAGACAGGGAGAGAGAGGGAGGCAGAGGAGTAACGTGGTATGAAGTCAATAGAAAAGTACACAGTTGACATTATGTAATAAGTTTAGTAATGGTAGTAGTACGCATTGAACTCGGAATCCGAACCACGTAAAACGGATCACGGAATACGACTCAAGGATTAGCAATCACGAACTGGATCACGTCAGCACTGGACCGCACTGGCACTAGCACGCGATATCCCATGTAACTGCGACGCGAGGAAAAGGCCGCAAGAGTAGTGATTCATTTACTGGAAGAAATAATGGGGATTAAATAATATGTACAAATTAAGTTCATTGGTTATCCGGGCTTCTACCAATCGCGTTCCAGTATTTCTGTCATCGTTCTGCTTCTGTCTGGATTGCACGGTTTCTGATTGGCTGGTGCGATCTAACTACGATATTTAGTCAGAAGCAGTGACACGTACGCGCGTTGTTGACGTCACCCGTGAAGTTTGATTGATAGCATTTGTCCAAAAAACCGTAACGCGTCGCTCCAGGGTAGGCGTCATCTCGTAGACTCGGATCACTACAATTCTCATCCTTATTCAAAAGAGCTTCTTTGAATTCAGCTGTTCATGGAACTGGGTTTCGGAGGGCGAGTGTATTAATTAAGAATAGATTCTTTAGGCATTTCAAGAGTACCAGATTTCTGTTTTATGATCGTTTTACTTGAAGATGCTGGACCAATGAATTCATCGTTGGAACTGTCAGAATCCTTTGAACGTGGATTCGATGGATTTGTTCCCGCTGATCTGTTAAGTCGTTAGCCGAAGTAACACATCGCACTGACGTTCGCGACCTTGGCGACCTTTGATCGTTTCATCGATCTTTGTTTGGTTTTGGGTCACACACATTACTCCACTTGTGATAATAATAATAATAATAATAATAATAATAATCGATACTCTGTGGTAATTTCCACGATTAGACTCACCTTCAACGAACGGGAATTGTTTCACACCTCCTTCAAATCGTTCTGGTTGCTTTATCCGGCTTATGTGGACTTCCTGATCCGAGGTGAATGCTACTTGGAGTGGTAAAAGCCAGAACGCATACAACGGATCGAATTTACGACGAGCCGTATAGAGAATGTTCACTACGTTTGCTGATTGGACGAATA